ACTCTATCCAGCAGGGTATCAAAGCAGATGCTGAGACTCATAGACAAACTTTGGGCAGAGTGCAGGGAATCTTATGAAAGAAGGGGGAGATAGAAAGACCTGGAGGGGACAGGAATTCCACAAGGAGACCAAAAGAACCAAAATTTGGAAACTTTTAAAATCCAAATAAAATGACTCACTGACATTCAATAGTGGTAATTAAATCAAATACATAATATGGAATATAAGTATTATATGATTTGTTAGTTCAAGACAAATGCTTGAGCCAATGAGCTTGTATATGTTCAGCTTATTTCCTGATTCTATACATTAGCCTGTGTATATTAAAATATACATACACATATAATATGAACATACATGTTGCTGAGCTTATAGTTTTACACATTCATAGTTTTCTACTCCTATGTTATGTTAGACAAATCTGCATATAATTTGAACCCTTATCAATTGACTTGTATTGTTTAATGGCAAAGTAATTTGGCATGCTAGCTCTTGTTGAATTTTTGTAAGTGTTACTGTAAATACAACATAACTGGCAAGATTGGAGAGCAAAAATTGATGTTTCTCCATGCATGTAAGAAGTTGATATTGAGTTAGTAAATATGCATTTAGGGACGAATGTTTCTAAAGAGAGTATGACCTTCCAGTCTAAAACATGACAGACTCAGCTCTCTGAGTGTGGGCTCTTTTGGAGCATTCTTAAGATGCATTTCTCTTCTCAGGAGTTTATTTTAGGCTGTGAGCAGAAAGGGAAAAGGGAAAGGTCAGAGTCTCAACAACTGGATGCTGTAATCCCACTGGAGGAGACAAGCTATTTCCCTTAATATTCAGTTTATACTGTCCATCGATTTCCATAAGCAGGCTGTACTGTAATACTTGGCTATACATATCTCACAGCCCTTGATTCGATTCTTTCTCTATTTAAACCTAAATCTCAGGTCAGTGCTCCAAAGATAGACTTGGGGTCACTGGAGACCTCCATCCATACTGCAGAGTGTGTCTAAATTGATTACATTTCTTCTTTCTGCTTATCAACAGCACTTGCCATTTCTTTCGTTGGCATGTTGGGATGAATCACTGATACTAGCCTGTCAGGGCTACCAGACCAGAGCATTTGTTCTAAGTCTCCGGGCCTACAAGTACTCCATTAAGTACAACTATGGTTATGACTTGAATTCAGATATCTGGATCATTGTGTCACACGTCTGGGAAAGTGCACAAGATGGTTAGCCTTCTCCCTAGTCCATCAGAAATGACAAGAAACATGGATTAAAAACAAACTTCAAGAATACTCTTTCACAAGAGCATGTGTACCACAAAGTGCCTTTTTCATGTACATAAACATTGTTTATACTGAATAGTTTGTGTCAAGTTAAGGCCAATATAAAGTTTTAAATTATAGAAGAAAAAAACACCCCTTAAAGCTACCATATTTTAATACCTACACTACCAATTAAGAAATTTTGCCGTAAAGTATATATGTTTCTCTTCAATTCTCTACAAGTCATCATTAATAAGATAATAGAGCAGGAAAATTAGTAGGGAGTTCATTTGATTTTTTTACCTCCCTAAAGGCTGGCTTTAGTAAGAAAATTTATCTACATTTCAATTCCAATGCACAGTGAATGATAAATGAACTCTACTGAATAAAGGACATAACATTGGCTGTGCCTGAGATTTCTATTTTCTTTCATCAGAATATTCTGCCTCACAAAGTTCATAGCTCAGTGCTTGTCCCCTTATAAGGAATAGATAAATGAACTCCAGCTGTCTAAAGAACTCAAGTTCAGGGCATGACTCAAAGTAGGCAAAAAGAAATGATGTGTGAGGCACTAGGCCAGCCATGAGGCTGCTTCGCTGTTTTGCTTTCTATCCAGTTTATCTGTCCTGGTTCATTCTACACAGAAAGAGCAATAGCAAAGCTATTTTACCTTGCTTTGATGGCCAGATTCAATGGCTGCAGGACCAGAAGCGGTGAAAAGATATCTGCCCCAAAGCTGAGAGCTGAGGGAGAGAAAAACACATTACCTTTCAACGCTTCCTCCCTGATCTGTCTGCACTTGCTTGTGTATTGTTTGAAGAATAGGCTTTGTATTCAGACATCCTCCTGTCTGATCCGCATAGCAATGGCTATAACCCTGATGGGTGACACATGTTGAATTGATACTGTTAAGGAAGTGCCTGAGTCGGGGCGGGGGGGGAGGCTTGCACTCTTTTACAGTTGCCATGAAAAAAGTCAATTTGTTGTCACTGGTTACTTCTTGAGAACCTGCGGAAGGTGGTGACTAAATCTCTCATTTTATGTTAGAGATGAACAGGTAGGCTAAGGGCAGTGTGTGAGACATCGGATTTATAGATAAGGGAATATGAGAGGTATCGACCCTCAGAGAGACAGTGGTACAGAGTGAGAAACACGGTAAGAAAATATTTACAATGTCTTTTTTGGCTGTTAAAACCATGGCCATTCCTGAGCAGGATAATATCAAACCAAAACATTATGCATTACTAACATCAGGAATAAATTTTGCTTTGGATAGTGGAGTGATTGCTAGGAGTCATTTGCTAACATGAGGACAAGGTGCAAATAAATATGAGGTCATTTCTATTTTCTAGGATATAAAAAGCTAAAAGGGCAAAACTATGCATTTTGGAAGTTAACAAAGACAGGTTAGTCTCGTTTTTTATGTTAGTAACAAGCACACCATAGAAAAAAGCATTTCCAGGCATGAAGTGTGAAATTCTATACCTGTCTGTTGTGAATTTTGGACACATTAAGCCAATAAAAAGAAAGATAGTAATGCCAGTGACCCAACAAATAAAGATCTACAGAAATAAACTACACTATCGCCCGCTCCTCTATGACCAGCTCTACCAAGACAGAGAAAAGGAAATTATATTCAGCTTGAACGCTTTTTTCTCTAGCGTTTTTATGTTTAATAATCTCACCCAGCCACGTATATTCAAAGCTGTTCTTGGTATGCTGGGTCAGTGGACAATGGAGCAATAGCAGAGACTGATAAAATCTAACATCACACTGTGTGCTGTAATGGATAAGGAGGAACTGTAATTATTAATTGCTCTGGTCATTCAAACTTTTCCACAAGGAGGAAGCGTAGCTCTAATTACTTTGGTCATTCGAACTTTTCCACAAGCACGTGGTGAAAGAAGATGGGTTTTAACAGTAATAATGTATTGTGTCACAAACAAACAACACCGTCTGCAAACAACATGACTCAGTTTTTAATGTGCCTGCTTTGCAAAAGAAGAGGACCTGATCTATGGGCATGGTGTCCTGTGCTTTGCGAAGGCAGATACACATAAATCCCTGGGATTCACTGGCCAGCCAGTCTAGCCCACTTGGTGACAGATCCTGTATCAACAAACGGTGGCATTGGATGAAACAGATGCAAGGTTATAGTCTAGCCTTCACATTCACACACATGAATGTACATCCACACTGCAACATGTGTGCATACACATACAAAACATACACACACACACACACACACACACACACACACACACACACACACTTCCTGACCAAAAAAAAAGTCATCTTTCTTTATACCCAACCAAGACAATGGTAATGAATTTTATAGTAGTACAGGGAAGTCATAGCTGCACATCATGTTATTATCACTAACAAGCACAGAACACAAACTATGGCAACGCAGACACTAACGCACGTGTATAAAAGGAGGAGTGCCAGATGGCTTCAGGCAAGTTTCCCTGTGTGAACCACTATCACCTGGCCATGCGGAGTCTTAGGAAACCAATCTAATATCCTATTGTGTGTGCAAGTGAAGACAAATGATATGTTTTAAACCTAGATCTCCAAGGCTTTACTCAAAAATGATGCCTCATACACAGGCTTAGCTGCAAAAGCAAGTCTGTTACTTATTCATTACTACTTTAAAAAAAAATCCTAAAGTATAATACTGCTTTTTGTGAATGCCATCCAGACATTTACTCCCTTTCCCCCATTTCCAAGCACTTCTTACTAATTATGAATAACCCAAGTTAAGACAAAATAAAGAACAAGAATTAGTACTGATAAAAATGAAAAAGGACAACTCATTTTTCATGAATGCATAATAATTGTTATGCATAAATTGTACACCAATAATTTGAAACTCAAAAAACAGGTTTTTGCAGTATACCACTGGCCTGAGGTATTCAATGCAGCCGCTAAAGGTGCTGAATTAAAGTGGAAGAGAACTCGGCAAAATTATTTTCTTTTAATAGTGTAAGTGTGTTGATTATGTACACTTGTATAGGGATCGTTAAGGTACATGGTAGTATATCTATTATCATGTATATAAAAGCCAGAAGACAATTGTAGGAGTCTTCCTCTATCATCCTTCACCTTATCTTTTGAGACAGGGTCTCTCATTTAATGAGGCCAACTATTTTGCCAAGGATAGCTAGCCAGCAAGCTCCTATGTGCCTGTGATCTTTCCTCAAAGCTGGGCCTATAGGCATATACAGTCATTCCTAGCTTTAATGTAAGTGCTAGGGATTTGAACTTATATCCTCTTTTGTTAAATATTTTATTTTTACTTTTAATTATGTGTTGGTGCTTACATGTGAGTATATACATGTGAGTTTGTTTATTCCTGGAGGCCAGAAAATGATACTGGAAATGCTGTAGCTGGAGTCACAGGCAGTTGTGAGCTACCCAGTATGGGTGCTGGGAACTACACTCTACAGGGACAGTCTGTGTTCCTAACCATTGAACCATCTCCCCAACCTCTGAACACAGATCTTCCTACTTTCATGGTGCTCTAGGCCACTCAGCCATCTCTCTAGGGCCCAGATTAACATGATTTTAAGTTACACAATGCTTCCCCTGAAAAGAAAACTTACTAGTTGCCTGGCCAATCATATACATATGGATCTACATGGAGAACGGATCAGAGTTGAGATAAAGCACACTAATATTTATTGCAAATAAATCATTCCTTATAATAGCACAACAAAATGCACATTAGCCAATGCAATTAGGCAAATTTTTTTATTGATTGAAATGAAAAACATTTTCTGAAATGCTAAAATTACCATTTCAAGTCTCCAGAAGACCAAAACATCAGTATCTAATGAAACAGTGTATTAACAGATTATAAGATAAAACAATGGAAAACGAAACAAAGATAAGAATTTTACATTTTCTTTCATATGATTCTTATTTTTATATTTCTGCTACATATTTAATTCATTATTTCTAAACACAATTTGAGAAAAAAACAACAGAGAAGCAAACTCAGTAACTCCTAATTCAGACCCATAGGTACTAGAACAAATAAGGCCACCACATATTCATCTCACAAAAATTACTACAGCAATAATAATCGTACCTGATGAATAATTCAGATTTGAAATTAAAGAACCAAACAGCTTGCCAGTAAAGTAACATTTAAAAATTATTCTATGCTACACTTCATTTGCAAATCTTAATTTCTTGGATAGCTTTGAAATAAACATTGCTAATATTTTAAGCACATCCTTCCCATCTACTTCATATAGCAACTTTATATATTTGCATGATCCAACACTGAATTTCCGCCTGATGTTTTGGCTAGACAGCCGTATTTTGCAAAGCTTACACATCATCAACACTCTGACGAATCAGCCAATGCATCTGCGTGAGATGGGCTGAGGTCAGGTCTCCTCAGTTTGGCAGATCCATGTTCTGAAGGATGAGCGCCACTCGGCTTGGAATGTACACCTGTCAACGCAAGCACACCGCTGTAAGTGAAAGAAATGCTGGACATGCTGTCATAACATCAAAGTGACGCAGGCATCATGCAGTCTCGCATGTGACGAAGGTTACAGTGATTCTTCTGATTCCACCAGACATCTGAAGGCTCTCAGTTTTCAACAGTTTGGGCACCAATCTAAAGCTATTCCAACAATAACCACTAGAGGGCTCCAAACTATTTACAAAAGATGCATTTCCTCACAGGAATGAGGTAAACGGCTCCCTTAAGCCACATTTCACTATTAGGTGCTACACAAGAGTTGCATGCAGTTCACAGGGTTGTAGTGATTCGATGACTAAGTGCAACAATTGGGTACTCAAAAGAACATACTTCTTCACTAAGACACTATATAATCTTACCATTTCTAAGTAAAGTCAAAGAATAAAAACTGGAATGTAACATAATTTTATCAGGCCTTGTTTCAAGTTAACCCAATAATGATGATGATGGTGATGATGACGATGATGACAATGATGATAAACAGATAAATAAACAAAATAAAGGACCTTTCTCTGAGGTAGGACACACCGTTTCCATGCTCCTCTCCGATATGAGCTCTATCACAGCCTCCCTCTACAGGCGTCTTTAGGCTCTTCTGAATCTCTTCTAGAATGAATCTTATCCTTTACACTCTTTGCTTCTCTGGTTCCTATAGTTCTCAGGACTTTACATTCCCTAACCCTACGGCAAGATTTTCCCAGGGCAATCCCAGATATGGAATGTTCTCCACTTCACTTAAGTCACAGTGGCCATTTGGCTCCTGACTTTCACACAATTTGTGATTTTTTTTTTTGTTTCAATTCTTTTTTTTTTTTTCCTCCTTTCCCAGATATCTATTCTTCCTTCCTGACCAGGTGCTTTAGGGAGGGAGGGGTTAAATACCTCTTGATTTCTCACAGATATTGAACTATGTTAGGAAGGCTGGGTCCTGATGCATTTAATGTCTGCATTAAAAAATAGGTAAGTATTTGGAGGAGCAATGCTAGGCTGCTATATTCACACTTCCAAAAGGCCCTCTAATGTAGCTGCTCATAAAACAATCTTCATAACATTGTTTTATTTATTGATTTATTTTCGATATAAAATACTTAAGTTATAGCAATGTAAATAATAAATGGTATTACAGATTACTGATGCCATTGTGAGACCTTTTTCCACCTCTTTGGTAATATTTTACCATATTCAGTTATTTTATCTCTACATGAACACTCAACAGAATTTTAAAAATGTTTCTTACAGTTTACAACCAAAACCATAAAAGCATGGTTTTATGAAGAAAACTAAAATAATGTCAAATGCATCTTAACTTTGCCAATGGCCTCACTATTTTTGTCTAAGAGATTGGACAGTAAAAAGTTCCAGCTATGCTTCCAAAGAAGTCAGACAGATCAAAGGAGCTAGTAGCTTTAAACATTAAAACACAGTCCATTTTAAAAGGTGTCATTTAAATAAAATTATTCTATGAAAGCAATGGCTAGAGGCCAGTTTTTCTAATCTTCCCTTAAATGTAACAGTGATTTGGAAAATAATATTCATCTGATAAAAATTTCACAAATACCAATAGTCACTGTTTAGGCAGGTGTCACAATCTGATTAGCAATCAAGTATATTGAAAAAGATAAATATCACATTTCTGTAGTAATTACAGGTGGGGAACCAAGTATTCCAATGCCAAAATATTTTGACCTATAATTTACACATTATATTAATGGCTAAATTTATTTTTAAACCATATTACAATGTAACTGCTACTGCAATTCATTTTATCTCTTCATTTCATCCATTCATTTCATTTCAATTCATTTCATTTTTTTTGGCTAAGACACAGATATGTAAGGTAAGATGTAGGAAATTATTTCAACAAAGGGAAGCTAGACATATCCACAAATAAGGGAAGACTACTCCATGGACTACTCCAAATCAATGGATGGCAAACTTCTACAATGAGGCCACAGACAAAAGAAACAACCTAGATGTCCCTCAATGAGGAATGGATACAGAAAGTGTGGTACATTTACACAATGGAATACTACTCAGCTATTAAAAACAAGGAAATCATGAAATTTGGAGGTAAATGTTGGGAACTAGAAAAGATCATCTTGAGTGAGTTAACCCAGAAGCAGAAAGACACACATGGTATATACTCACTCATAAGTGGATATTAGCTATATAATACAGGATAAACATACTTAAATCTATACTCCTTAAGAAGCTAAACAAGGAAGACCCTAGGGAAGTTGCTCAATTCTCATTCAGAAGAACAAACGCAATAAATATCGGAAGCAGGAGAAAATAGGGAACAGGACAGGAGCCTTCCACAGAGGGCCTCTGAAAGACTCTACTGATCGAGGCATCAAAGCCAGATGCTGAGACTCATAGCCACATTTTGGGCAGAGTGCAGGGAATCTTATGAAAGAAGGGGAAGATAGAACAACCTGGAGAAAACAGGAGCTTCAAAAAGAGACCAACAGAGCCAAAAATACTGAGCCCTGCAAACCCTTGCAAGGACTGATACTCCAAAGACCATGCATGGAGAGGACATAAAACCCAGGTTCAGGTGTAGCCTGCAGACTCAGTCTCCAAGGGGGTCCCTAGTAAGGGAGCAGGGTCTTTCTCAGCCACTCAGTGGCTGTCTGATTACCTCCCCCTGGGGGAGGGGGTGCAGCTTTGGCAGGCCACAGAGGAAGACAATGCAGCCACTCCTGATGAGACCTGATAGACTAGGGTCAAATAGAAAGGGAGGAGGACCTCCCCTATCAGTAGACTGAGGGAGGGGCATGGGAGGAGAAGAGGGAGGGAGGATAGGATTGGGAGGGATTGAGGGAGGTGGCTATAGCTGGGATACAACTTGAATAAATTGTAAGAAATGATGATGATGATGATGATGATAATGATGATGATGATGATGATGATGATGATGATGATGATGATGATGATGATGATGATGATAAAAGAAACCTGCTAAGGCAAAGAGAAGAAAACAAAAGGGACCGACAGTCTGGTATGTTCATTTCCTCACTAAGCACCCATGATACAAATTTAGATAGCAGTCTGTCCCTCCAAAGGGCAAATGTCTTATGGCATTGTAGTCCATATGTTATAAACGTAGTTACTGAGTCTAACTAGGTAAGACAGGAGATTCTGCCACAAGCCATCTTATATCAAAGAGCAATTTAAATTTTGACATACCACCAGAAAACAGACATTTCACATTTTTCTCCATTAACATCATCCTGAGAGGACAGAAGCCTACCACGGAGGGTCTCTGAAAAGCTCTACCCAGCATTGTATAAAAGCAGATAATGAAAAAAAAAAAAAAAAAAAGCAGATAATGAGACTCATAAACAAATTTTTGAATAGTGTGCAGGGAATCTTAGGAAAGAAGGGGGAGATAGTAAAACCTGGAGAGGACAGGAGATCCACACAGAGAACAACAGAACCCAAAAAATCTTGGCACATGGGTCTTTTCTGAAACTCATACTCCAAAGACCATTCATGGATATAACCTAGAACCCCTGCTCAGATGTAGCCCATGGTAGCTCAGTATCTAAGTGGGTTCCTAGTAAGGGGAACAGAGACTGTGTCTGACATTAACTCAGTGGCTAGCTCTTTGACCACTTCCCCCTGATGGGGGAGCAGCCTTGTCATGCCACAGAGGAGGACAATGCAGCCAGTTCATATGAGACTGGATAAGCTAGGGTCAGACAGAAGGGGAGGGAACCTCCTCTATTGGTGGACTTGGAGAGGGGCATGGGAGGAGAAAAGGAAGGGAGGGTGGGATTGGGAGGGAATGAGGGAAGGGGCTACAGTTGAGATACAAAGTGAATGAACTGTAATTAATATAAAAATAAAAATTTAAGAAAATCATCCTAAGAAAATATTGTCACATAACAGTGGCATGGGGAATCTGGAAATTCAAGTCTCCTGAAGAAGTTGCAATGAGACGCATTAATCAGGCTGGGTTTGAATAATGATCAGTTCTTCTCAGAGTGCAGCACAGGGATGTATCAGAAGAGGTCCACTCAGTCTCATATTTGGATTCTAGGCAATTATGGTAGCTACTGTTTGATTCCTATCTTCATAGTGATATATTAATGGAATTAATGGAATATAAATAACAACTATCATGTTTAAGAAGACTTCTTTTTGGTAATTTTAGCTAGTTCAAATTTAAGAATTGCAAACCAGAGAAATAAGAATTTCACATTTGCAATATATGCATTGACTTTTCCACTTTAGCATTACGTGATTAAAAATATTATGAGAATTCTTACTAAATGATGCTGACCATTGTTGTGTAAGGAACTTTATGGCCTCAATTCCAGTCTCACAACAGTACCTGTTCAAAACCCTTCAGTTGGTAACCATGTCGTATCTTTAACAGCAACATTATATCCCTACAGGTTTTGGTGGACTGTTACCTCAATGCTGTTCTGGAGCCTTTGTGCTATAAGCAGAATTTAAAAACTTCCACAAGCTAACGGTTTTTATCTTCTCTGTTTATGAAATTTTGAGTTTTAGTCTCTATGTGGTTTCTTTGTATATAAACCAATTTTCTTAGTGGTTAGAAAATGATTGCCAATTATGCTACAGGCTGAACATAATCAGTGTTAATCCTTATGATGAGATCATTAGAAATGCGAACAATCTTGGGCCCCTGAACCTTAATGTATAAGTATAGTCTGTATTTCATTTTTCACTATTTAAATTCCAAAATGGCCTGATTTGTACGGCAAGAGGGGAGACACAGACAGAAGCAGATTTATACATAAATGTTTAGATATGTTTAAATATAATTTCCATCTTGGTACACACATACAGAAAAGATTTAGCATTTATGTTTTAGGACGTATGTATTGTAAAACATATTTGATTAGATTTTCAGCCTTACACCTACTACAGTGAGGGCCCCCAAAAAAGCAACACAGGAGACAATGTAATATACGTCCCTGAACTTCACTGTCTAGCCATAGTCAGGATAACCTGGTCCAAAGCAAGCAGCATTCCAATCACTTACGGAGTGTCAAATGTATGCAAATCTGCCTACCATTTTGGCTATTCCAAAAAGTCTTCATGGCTACAGTGACTGCTAGTGTGGCTCAAAACTACCTGGTCACATGGTGATCCGTTATGTCAGCCCGGCCCTGTTCTTTTTCTTTAGGATCATAAATGAGTTGCAAAGTTAGTCACGTAATTTTGAAAAGCACAACATTTTAAAATGCAAAGACATAATGCTACACAGGGCATTTAAAAATATATTAGAAAGTGCTAAATTTGGCAACAGCCCATTCAGATATAATATTGGTGGGATACAAATATTCTTCACTGAAAAAAGATCAGACGTTTTTTGTTTGTTTGTTTGTTTGTTTGTTTTCTTGTTCATTCTTTCACTCTTATTTTTTTTTTATTTTTTAATTTTTTATTAATTACACTTTATTCATTTTGTATCCCCCCATAAGCCCCTCCCTCCTCCCCTGCCGATCCCACCCTCCCTCCCCTTTCTGCATGCATGCCACTCCCCAAGTCCACTGATAGGGGAGGCAGACGTTTTTTTATAATTGATATTTTTCTGTTAATAAGTGACTGCTAAGGTAATTTTAAATTTCATATACGGGTGTGAGTTTACAAAGTACTTTTTAAGAAAAATGTAATTAGCTGTCATTTTGTATGAAGAGTCAAAAGTAACATATATCATAATATTATAATTAAGTTATATTTGTTAATTCAATTACTATAAATTATTATATAATTATATATAGTGCATATTAATTCAGAAATATTAAGGAAACTAAACTCGAAGAATTGAGGGCTTTTTTTTTTAAATAAGTAAACATATCTATAGGTAGTGCCAAAGGCATGTTATGACTGTTAATTTGTATTTTCAATATTTATCAAAGAGAGACAATAGAAAACGCACCTCATGTAAGCCAAAACCCTTGAAAATCCCGCATTTTGAATAGGAACAAACCATGTGTTGAGAAGGAGCCAAGCTAAAATGGTAATTAATGCCAGGCCTCCTGCTTCAGTCACATCACCTCTACTGCCCTGGCCTCTGTGGCTGGAAAGAAGCACAGCTCACATGGCCTTATAGCCTCTGTGCTCTCCTTTAAGCTACGGGACTGGAGTTTGTGAGCCGGAGAAGGGAACGGGAGTCTGTGCACCCAACATGTGCCAGTTAACACACAGGTTAACAAACCAGCTCCTATGTCAGAAGCTAGAATGCAGAGAAGAGATTATGCTACAATGGGGCATCCCAAACCATCAACACAGCTGGCTAGAGGAGTGCAGCCCCACTACTTCAGCAGCCATGAGGTGCCTGGACTTTCCCACGGCCTTTCAGTGGTGGTGTCTCCGTCGCAGACAGAGCCGGGCCAGGACCCGCTGATGCTGCAGGATGCAGGTGTATTTTAGGATTCCTCTGAGCTCTGTTTGTTGCTGTCTTTGAAAGCAGATTTGACACCTACTCAGCAGATCCCCTGGATTACTGAGCTTGCACATTAAGCTTCAGCAAATGCTGTGAACCAGTTATGATGAGCAGAAATTTCACGGAATGAGGGAAAGTTATAGTTAGTTTCCCTTTCATTACTCGGGGACTGCGGGGCACAGAGGTGATCTCGTTGGTGATTGTATGAGCCGTGGTGCACCGAGGGTCACTTTCAAGCACTTGATTGGATTCCAGCGCTCACAAATCAGTTTACGAAGGAGTTTGACTTTAATGAGGCATTCCTGTAACAGATGCTTTTGTTTACGTAATTTCCTGTCCCCTGCCCTTTACCCTCACTGCTTAACAGAATAATTGGCAAGAAGAAACTTGTTTTCTTGGACTCCTTCCAGTGATCAGTTTATCTGGAACCTGAACTTGGAGAGCAGAGATTTCTAAAGCACCAGTGGTCTCTGAGAAACAGACACTGCTGTGAGGGAAGCAGGCTCCCATCACCTTCCTGACTATGATAGATCATAGCTCTTTTGTGCATAGTCCTTAGGACCTTTTTCTTTCCTCTGTGCTCGTTCGTGGTATATCACTGAGACCAAGGGGGAAGGGACAGTCTCCATTCAATCTGCTAATTCAGAGGCTGTTTCATGTCTCTGAGATCACTTCAGTTAGTGCTTGAAAAGTAACCTGGTTGCCTCCACCACTGGCATGTTGACTGGATTTCAATTATGTCATAAAAATTTTTCTCTTGGAGCTGGAGACATGGCTCGGAGGTTAATAGCATTGGTTGTTCTTACAAAGGTCCTGAGTTCAATTCCCAGAAACCACATGGTGGCTCATAACCATCTATGATGTTATCTGGTGCCCTCTTCTGGCAGGCAGAATATTGTATAAACAAACAAATAAATAAATCTTAAAAAAATTTTTTCTCTCCTGAAAAAATGACTGGATGGCAAAGTATTGCTTATTTACGCCTATGAGTAAGAGTGCTTGAAAATCACTTTTTCCAACTTGGGAGAAAGTTTTTGTAACCAAGCATTCTAAAAGCACTTAATGTCTTGATATGTTCAGGGTATTAAAATGGCTGGGCATGGTGGTGCAAATCCCAGCACTCAGGGAGGCAGAGACAGGCTGATCTCGGTGAGTTTGAGACCATCCATGTCTACAAAGTGAGTTCAAGAAAGCCAAGGCTACAGAGAGAAACCCTGTCTCAAAATCATCATCATCATCATCATCATCATCATCATCATCATCAAATGACACCTAGGGTGCAGTGTTTAAATACATGACCCTAAGGACTTAAAGCCAAGGATGAGGACATTTTGCAGTTTTTGGAAAGCTTGGCTTTGTTAATGGGATTCTGCTTCCTAAGAACCTCTTGCCTCAGAGCGGATAGCACTGCATGTCCTCATTTACAGATGAGGACAGCACGTGGACAAGTTAAATTACTCAATGCTTAAAGCAATAGGGCACTGGAATCCAGGTCTCTCCTATGATATTTTGTCATCAATTCACTGTAGCAACAGAGGCTCTCCATAGCAAAATTCTGTTGAGATACAGGAACCTTTCATAAGTCTATCAACAAAAGAATTTGAGTGGATGAAGTTCAGTTTTACCGAGACAGGCTGCTGCTACTCAAGTTCCTCCTCGTGAGCTAAATCACCTCCCTGAATGCCTCAGGAGTCTTATTCCACATCTTTTAGGTAATTTCCTCACTTATGGAATTATTTTTATCAGTCTTATTGCACATGTCAAAACTGAACGCCCTAACAGGTTATAGCCTTAGTTCTTCAAAAGTGGGATCTGATGCTACCTGTGAGCCTTCTCTTTTAACCATGTGCACACCCTCTCTCTGTACCCACCAGAGCCATTAACACACTCACATACACCCACAGAACAACAGCTGAGTCTGCTTGGCCAACATGTTTACATCCCAACTCAACTGCCATTGATGCAGTCTTTCCACTTATTTTATGGCTGATCCACTCCATCTGGAATATATATAATACTTAAATGAGGGACTTCTGCAACTTCAAGTGGTAGGGTATAGTATAAAAATGGAACCCAGTGGCACCATGCAGTTTTTAATACTTAACTTTCGAACTTCTTGAAAAGTGAATAATTTTTAAAAATCTGCCTACTTTCTATGACGTATCCACACATTTATTAAATATTTCTTGATGTCATGAATATAACATAATACCTCTCATAATGAAAGAGAAGAATGGAAATTTGACAGAGATATATACATATATATACATACACACACACACACACACACAGAGCAGAGAGGGGAAACAGAATGGCGGCATATGATCAGCCAGGAAAAGCAAAAGGAAAGAAAATATGATTTATATGTAACCTGAGCCTACCATATGGCCATAAATTAAATGAATCACTCTTAGTCTAAAATGTTGCTAAACTCTACATCTTCTAAGAATGGAAACTGAATATTTGAAGGCAACATCCTATCATCTGTTTCAACATTACCGTGCCACAAAACTCATATGATAAAGGGCTCTTCTCAGTTACAAGAATAATCAAGAGAATTTATAGTTACAAAGTATTCAGTCCTCAATTTATTAGATGACAGAAAGGATATAAATCATTTACTTCTTCAAGATGTTTTAAATTAAACTTCATTAAATAGACAATAATGTAGACATCCATTTAATGAAATATACTGCATAGAAAGCAATAATTAAATTGTTTTTATAAAGAATAGACATGGTTGTAATTGGAAACAAACAAACAAAGCAAACCTGTCCTCTCAAGCCCACAGAAATGTCTTCAAATTCTATCAATATATTTCCAATTGTACCCAAATATCTTTCAGTGTTGCTATTCCTAAGACCCAGTGTCTCTCACCACACTTTTATGCTTTCCCTACCTTTTAGCTCCACCTCATGTTAATATTTAAAGAATTGTGTCTTTGAACAAAACCATAACTACAAAAATGAAGAAGTAAGTTAGTATACAAAAAAAAAAAAAGCATCTAAAGAATCATACTTACCAAAAGAGAATATGGGCGCCCATTATGTTCAAAAGCTTCCGCAAAGTAGTCGGTATTGTGGTCCAGTCTCTGGTGTCCTCCATACTCCGCTGCATCGGAATCTAGCACAATTTTGAATGTACAACCCTTAAGGAATTCACAACACTACAGGAGTGGATGGAGACATTATAAATACACTCTAAATGTTAAACCATGATTTGTGCTGTGAAATTGTTCCTTCTCAACATGGCAGAGTTTCTCCTGTGTGAAAGAGCTTCTAGATCTACCGTCACACTCGACATGCACTGGGTCTTTCATACATTTTATCCAGAGACATCATGCAACCTGGCATTATCGGAGTCCCTACCTATGAGAATTCCCTGGGCTTTGTAAGCAACCTATCCTCGGTGCAACATTCTGCTCCTCACTGAAGAGAAACAGGGCTCAATGGGAACAGTTCTACCTAGAAAATCCACAAGGGATACACTTAATATATACTGTGATATACCACTGTGAGAATTATCTTGTTAGTTACATCTGTCTTTCAAATGCTTTAATGTATGATAAAATGCATAGACACATGTATACATGCATGGATTGGACTTCTGCTTGATCCTCATTTGGAAGAAATTTTTATTCCTTCCTCATCTTTAAATTCATGGAGCTTTTTAGAATCTGAATACCAGAGGGACAGACAAACAGTGACATGAAAAAAGGACGGCTGGAACATTTCCAGGAGCAGCCTTACCCCAACTTCTTGGTTTCTAGACAATACATGGCTATTAATATAGTACAAACAGGTACATGCACTGCCATTGCCACTAGTGTGGCAATCATGGAATCTGCTATGACTCAATAGACAATTCCTCTATTGCATTACGAAAAATTAAAGAGGCTCTCCAGCAGGTTAGCCCAGTGTCCTCTCAGACTCACGTTTACACTGAGTTATCAACATGAGTATACTTAAGGAAGATAAGCAAAGGCTGTTTTATTAACTGAAAAGTCTAGAAATTGCACATTAAAATAGAGAAGTAAATACCTCTCTACTTAGAGTTCCCCCCGTCCCCCAGCCTTATGCTGAATAAAGATAAAACAAAGGTATTTTAGTTTTCTTTCCCCGGCACATAATTCTTCAGTACCAAGAACATTTTTACATTTTTCATACAGTAAAAAGATCCTAAGAATCATGGATATGAACAATGATCAATGGCCTATCATTTTCATCCTTTGGAAACCTTGGTCTGGGTCAGAGATGCAGATGGACACACCACAGGAAATTTGCTGGAAGTAGTGCCTCTGTCTAGGTCAATCCAGGTCAGTCTGCTCAGATTCACACTGATACTAAGAACTGGGGTGCTAGCATGCTCAAAGGAGGTAGAGGTGGGAGGATTCAAATGATATTTTCTGGGCTAGAAATTACAAGTGCATTCTAAACTCAATGTGGCTGAAATAACTTAAGCTTACAAGTAAATTTTATGGTGAAATATAGTTGGTAAACATTACTATAGACACAATAAATAAATGAAGCACCAAGAGATGACCAAAATAAAGTTTAGTTCTGATCTTCACTTTAGTTTATCAAACACATGGATTTATGTCTAAAAGGTCACAATTTGGAGAATAATGCTCCCAGAATACATTTTTCATGACTACAGAATTAAATGATCAACAAATTATTAGTTAGCAACATGAATTTTGATGAAGGCAATGAACAGCAAGCATGTCCTCAACATCAATAGCTCTCATCTTGTGGATTAGTAACTACCAAATGGTAGGTGTATCGTAAGGGTCTCCCTGTGTGGACAGATGTATTATTTTTAAGCGTCAGAGGATCCATATGCATTAGTCATTGTCTGAACACAGAATTGGTTTCTTTTTTTTTGGGGGGGGGTTACAATGCTAATTTGTTGAAAAATTCAACAATGCACCCTTGTCTATATATTTTCATAATCAATGATACAGAAAGAACCGTAGCCATACAAAAGCATATTTCTTTTTAACACTGAAAAGGAGCATCACATTGAAAATAGGTGTAGTCTTCTCTTTATGTATGTAACTTGTAGTCATAGAGGAAAAGATTCTTAAAAAGACACAGAAGTTTCAAATATCATTTAGAGTTTTTCTATTCTCAAATTTTTAAGGAAAAACTTCTCTGCGCCCACTTTGCTAACAACCCAGATCAATGTCTTTATCACCTGGGGAACACAGTAGATTTTTTGAGGAAATATAGTAGTAAAATTCAGAAGTTTTTATAAAGTGAAACATTAAAGATAAAGGTTGGGAAGTCATTTTATTGTTGTATTTGCTATGACATGTTATTCAAACATCAGGAAGCTTTGCCTTTAAAGGGCTTTGCTAAAAATTTGGCCAGAGACCTCATGAGAAGCTTACTGGAGCAGCTGCCATCATTTGCTTATCTTAAATATTCTCTTATTCAAGTATTCCCTTGATCTCTCTCAAAATCTCTTTCAAAATTACAAGGAATCTATTTTGAAAAAGTGCAACTCAGATAATTTTAACTTATTTTAAACTACTTTCTTAATGGATTTCCAATTAAAGCTAACTAGTCAGGACATATCCACAGGCTGCAACTGTCCACAGCAACCACCACACACCAGAAGAACTGCCCTCTTCTAAGGTGTTCTCAACAAACCATTTAAACAGATATTCAGAACAATCCCGGCTCACTAGCAGGTGTTAAGCTGCAAATAGTAAGATTTTACATTAGAAAAAAACAGAGAATAAATTTTTACCCTCTCATTCACTTGCTGCTTATATAAAATGTGTAAGACAGCATGAAAGATACAGCAATCACCAAGATAGACTTACTTTATACATAATTCACATCCTGTAGTGGGAGACTAATCATGCATATGCATGTCTGTGAGTAGAGAAAAAGACATGCAAGGACACACACACACAAAGAAAGAGAGACAGACACACACACACACACAGAGAGAGAGAGAGAGTCAGTCAGTCAAAGAGAAAAGGGAGAATTGACAGTCTGTATAGAAAAGAGAACTGAGGCTGGACTAAGATATTAATATGTAATTTGTGGACTAAGTCTGGTCCTGATGAAAACTTATTACTAAACATGGTTTGACCATCAAGAAATTCAACCTAAAATAAAGTATAAAGGTAGAAAGGTGAGGTGAAAAAGCAAATCTGGGAAACCAGTAACAATGTCCAAGGCTCTGACAAACATAAGCATTCAAGGATTTAGAGGTACACAAAATACAACTGAAAAACAAGGAGGCGGGTGCAAAATTTGTGAAAAGAAAAGTGGAAGGGGAGCATAGTGCTGACTACAACAAACAACTAGGTAAATGGTAGGTCTGGGTGCTAAGCCGAATCAAAGGAAGGACTAATTACCCCCTTCTCTGGAGCTGGTTATACCATTTACGGGTGATTCAAGTAAAATGCTGGTGAATGCTGTTTCTCACTCAATTCTAGGGTTGAGCTTCCAAGCACAAACAAGCAAGAGACCACTTGAGGAATTAAGAAAGGTCATAAGTGGTAACCATCTAAGTTAGTACACTTAAACTTAAAAGACAGATGCTTCCAACATCGGTTTTCAGAAGTTTACTGTGTTAGTTTTAAAATCCATTCTCATTCACTTGTGAAAAACAACAACAAAACGCTGAAACAATTTTTTCTTTGTTTAATGTTGGAAAATGTAATAAGAACAGTAATAAAATTTTAAATAGGGATTTTTCTTTTCTATTAAAAAAAGAGATGAAATAGGTTCCTACCAATTTGGATAGTATTTTAAAATATTATGACTTCTTATTTTAAATTCAAGAGCTTCCTAAGTATTTGATATATCTATCAACAGGTTGAAGTAGATAAGAAGTTTTAAGCATTATTTTATAATCTATGTCCTTAAATTTAAACCAAGGAAGAGCCTATTCTGAAGGAGGCCTCCACTAATAAGATTAAAGAACAGTGAAGGCATGAAGACTCTCAAATTGAATGGCTCTTCAAATACTTCAAAAGCTGCTGTGTTTGCTCAGACACTTGATAAAGTATCTGTTCAAAGTGTGAGCATTTTGATGTAAGAAGTGCCATCATTTATATCATTCAGTGCTGAACTCACTTCACTCCCACTGAGAAAACTGAAGGAATTTATTGTAAGGTACAACCCTTGAGATTTCTAATTGAGTGACAGAGAGGGGAGGGTCCTCCAATGACTAGATGACCATAAAGATGGCAGAGCTAGTCAGTTACCATATATCATCAAGTGTAAGAAATCCATCAGTTTAAGACAAGAATTTTATATATCTTTAGTAAAGAGAAATGAATCATTGTTGTGCTATTCCTTGTAAAACACATCCCAAATGAAGATATGAGAAAAATATAATACAACGTTAATTCAAAATCTATTGTCTTCCTATCTAATTCATTAATCCACACACTCATTTGATGTTAATTATAACAACTCCGGGGAGTTGAATGATGTCAGGAATCAGACTCTACCCCCAAGAGTGTAAAGCAGTATAAAAGACTCTCAGATCCACTATACTTAAAGTAACCATGAGAAACGAAATGTCTGCTTGGTAGAGTGTGAACAGGTGGTGGGAAGTAAGGAAGGTTTTAGGATTTCAATAGTCTAAAGATGAGTACCCATTATGTTCAAATATATGTTCTCCTTTTACATTTCACAATTGAACTTTATCTATTGACACTCACAATCCATAAAATCTAAGGTAATAGCTATATAACATGGGAACAGGAGCTCCACAAGGAGAGCAACAGGCCGAAAAAATCTTGGCACAGGGGTCTTTCTGAGACTGATACTCCAACCAAGCTAGATAACATCTGAACCAGGTCTGTCCACTCATTGTTTGATGAGTTCCATTACATTTTGCACAAAATCACTAGAAACTACAACTTTACTTGATGTGTTTGGTCTCTTTCATAACGCAGAGACAGTAAAGATTATTGGTGTGTGTCATGCATGTGTCTGTCTGTGTGGGGTGGTGTATGTGAATACAGACTTGAGTTAAGCTTTTCTATTCTTATTTCTTTTTTCAGAATTAATTCTTACAATAGATTGTTGATATTTTAATTTCTTTTGAAACCATTAATGACAATGTGACATGTATAATCACATTTCTTTTCATAAAGTAAGCATTTAGT